TCTGATATGTCCTTTTCTACATATTAACACACCATTCTCGGTTTATAGGTAGAGTGTGGAAAAAAAGCCCCAAAAAAGAAGGATTTAGAACCTTGCCGGTTTGGATATATATATGACAAAAATATAGATCAGGGATAGCAAGTCGCCGGAAAAAATGGCAAAGTCAATGGCTGGGAGAGATATTTAGTTATTCCACCGAATATTTGTCTGCAATAAACATATTTGTAGGAATTACATGCTAGAAAACTTTACAATATCTATGTGCTTTGTCCCCATCAGCTTTGTCGGAGCTAAGGACTGATAGCCACCATAGCAATGCCAAGGTTGAATACATGGATACATGGATTAAGAAAAAGAAAAGATAACCTGCATATCAAAGTGACTTCAGGTTGGCATACAGAGTATTGAAGTGAAGCGACCACAGGATATATAGTTGGGTACTATTGCCTGGCAGTAAAGTACATACATATACCTTTTAACGTGGGAGGCAAATCTACTCTGTACGGGAAATTGTATATAAAACGTAAAATCAATAAGTCTTATACTATAGTGCTTACCCTATAAATGGCTTGTTTATTTACTAGAGCCTATAGATACCTAGTTTTTTTTTTTCATGGATCCACCGTATTCCACACAGACCCTGGGAAAAATCAATAAAAAACAAATATAATGTGGAGAATTGAACCGACAATGTAGAGTCTTCGTACCCCGTATATATATGAATCGAACATGTCCCTGATTCGATCGCCAAGCCTTCCGCATCCCTGGTTCATCGAGGCTGAGGCCAACACCGCAACTTAGCCACAATCTTGTTTTTTTTTTTCTTCTTTGAATTCCAGTCTTTCATTAACTTCTTTTATATCTTTGTATCTTTATTTTCCCTTTCTGATCCAGTCTCTTTCATCCGATTCTTTAGAGTCTCTCTTTCAGCGACGCGTCATTCCCTGGAGGTGTGGCTTTGCGTGACCCACAAGTCTAGAATTCTAGCAGTACACTCCTTAAAAGCTTTGTGTTTTGAATTGATGCAGGTCCTACACCATCTGGGATTCTGATTATCTTTACGAAGATATACATTCCAACTCTTCATTATCCACCTTTTACTGAAGGACTTGGCACGGCGTACAGACGCCAAGAGGCCGAACAACGATGCTATGGAGCCGACTCGCACAGCCTGTGAGGCTCTATGCCCGACAGGGCCTGCCAAGACCTCTCAGAATTAACAACCACGTTGTGATGCACATACCCAAGCGGTTTAATTCAGACCCTAGGGACACCGGTCATATGACCCCAGACCCCACCGATCAGAATGATTCGGATGAGGGCAAGAGCAAGAGCAAGGGTCAGGGCCATAGCGGCGATTCAGACCCAAGTTTCAAATCTACGATTCTCAAGATGCTTGAAACTGCGGCGACCACAGCGGCATCAATTGCCATTCTAGGGTAAGGTTTACCTATATCATCCAAGTTATGCGTTACTGTGGCTAATTTGCTCCCAAGTGCCGCGGGATACGGCTATCACCAGTACTACAAGTGGTTGATATTGGACAAGATGGACAATGCCTTCAACCCAGGTGATCCTGCCCTCGAGATCGCGGGTGTTGTTTCTGGAAAACACAAGTACCGCCACGAGGAGCATTGGGTTGTTCGCAACGAGCAACCCAAAGTTGACGATATTGTAGCTGGGCGACTAAGTGGCCACTACTACCTAATGATCGGTGAAAAGGGAACGGGCAAGACTTCGATGCTCCTAGAGGCCATGCGCAAGATTAATGGTAACAGCTGTGCGTTGTTCGAAGCGCATGCTGATCTCGAAATCTTCCGAATCCGACTGGGCAAAGCTTTGGACTACGAGTTCCACGAGGAGTAAGCTGATACCATCATCGCTATAAGGGCATAACGCTAACAGGAATACCCAGTTATATCGGCAGCCTTTTCAGCATCCGTGGACCAAGAGACACCACGGCTCTCTTGGACATCGAGCGCGCATTCAATAAGCTAGAGAAAGTGGCTCTCACTAGAAGGCGGGATGGTTCGCCTCCTCTCGTACTGATCATCAACAGTACCCATTTAGTCCGAGACGACCACGACGGACAGGATTTGCTTGAGATGATTCAGCAGCGTGCCGAGCAATGGGCAGCTAGTGGTCTCGTCACAACAAGTAAGACTCTGACTGACACCCGCTCCTCTTGTCATAGCTAACTTTGTTGCCTTCAAGTTCTTAACAGCGATGACTATTGGGTATACGAGCGTTTGAAGCGGTATGCAACCCGCATGGAGGTCATTCCCGTGACAGATCTACCCAAGGACAAGGCGATGAATGCCTTGAAGAAATATCGCCAGCAATTCCACAACGAGATACTTCCATCTGCGACCCTCGAGCAAGTCTATGACAAAGTCGGCGGTCGACTATCCTTCTTGAACCGGGTTGCCAAGTCTTCGGATATCATGAAGACCTGCGATGAGATCTGTCTGGCCGAGAAAACATGGTTCCTAAACAAGTGCTGGATCCTCGGAAAGGAGATGGATGATGATGTGATGGATCAGCAGAAGTATGCCGTAAGTACACCCTATGGGATCTATTGGTTCTTTTCCATTCCAGCGACTCCGGCTAATCTAAACCACAATACAGTCTGGTGCCGTAGTTCTGGCGAAAGCGCTGGTAGACCTTGAGAAAGAGATGGAGTCAAACTATCACCAAGAGCAAGGCCACATCTTGCCAGAAATTCCGCTCCATAAAGCGCGCGAGATCATGACCCGCGCTGACTTTATCCAATCTTACGATCACGAAAATATCTTCACAATTGACTCGCGCGCCATGGTGCGTGCCGATTCAGTACCCATGCAGCGTGCCTTCCAAGAAATCTGCGCCATAGAGAACTTCGACAAGCACTTGGACGGTACCGTGGAGCGCATTGGAGACATTGAGAGTCTTGGCCGTACTCGCGAACTCACCATCAAAGATCTCTGGAATAATGGCAAGTATCGTGTCGTTGTACGGGACAACCATGGACGAGAGAGTGGGACAGTTGAATTTGCTGTGGCAGAACGCGAAGATGATGAAAATTAACCTGTATCATATCTAAATCCACGGATGAGAGGTCCCACTGTAATAAAAATGTACATTATCATGTCGAAGACATCAAGTCGATTTCTTGAATTTGGACCTTGGAAAAAGCAATAGTGACATCATCGTATGCTCACCGCTAACCAAACATTCCAACCCGCCTTCTCTTTTCCTCTTCCAAGCTCCAAGTGAAAGCAATTGCCTGTGATTTTTGCTCTAAACTCTGCATTGCAGTCCTATCGTTCTTCAAATTTGGAAGTTTCAAAATGCCGACCAAGACTGGTAGGAAGCGAACTGTGTCGTGGAGCGAGAACACGCGACCCGCGCTTGAGCTTGCGAAGACGGCCACTGCGCAGACCTCTCGATTGGCATGCATCCCGTCTCCAGCCCGCTTTATCCTTATCGTCCTAAGCAGTCTAACTGTGAGCTCTATTTTGTTCACACTCACATCTACCTTTACGGTGGGCGATCTCGGTCCTATCAGCAAACACCTGGAAGAATGGTGGGAAGTGGGGGGCTTGATAGCCTGGAGGGCTTTGGAGGTCGGATTAGCCTGGGTTCTAGGATTTGATGGTAAGTGCTGATCATCATACACATAACCCCTTGCATCCGGACATGAGGTTCCTACAGCTATATAGATGATATATGGAGACTAACCTTGTGGTTGCGACTAGGCCGTGATGTGGCATCGTTCTTATTCTTGACCCACCTGCCAACATACTCTCTCTTGTCATTCTTCTACGGCATCCGCCCGACTTCCGCACTGTTAGCATTTGGAGTCACGATTGTTTCGACAGCGCTTCCATTCGCCCTCCTGCGCCGGCCCTCGTCCGTCCACAATCTTTCGCATACGCCTGCTGATGCAGTTGCCAATCGAAACATTCTACAAGATAAGATTACCACAGTCTTCACGACGCTCCTGGCAACATCGATTTTCAGCGTTGTGCTGTATGCCAGCTATGCGACTTGGCTTCCTACCCAGCTGGTCATTCACTTTGAGGGTCTCCCAGATATCAGCGCGGCGCATGCTGGTCCCGCTGGCTTGCCTATCCTCTTCCTGACATTGATTCCTGCCGGTTGGGCCGCGCGTGACTTCTTGTTTGTCAGTTCCACTGGCTATTCAACCACTCCCGCTGGGTCTGGATGCTGCGCGGGTAGCGAATCTGTGCCTGCGGCCATCTGTCGCAACACTTGGGGCCAATTGTCCCCCAAGATGAGAGTTTTGGTTTCTCGATCCATTGTTCTTGCGCTTGGAGTCCTGCTCAACACGATTGTTCAAGTCGCTGGCACAATCAACGATGTCTCCGTCGAAGGTGCCGCCACTTGGGGAGCAGTCTGGGCATTTGCGACACTGATCGCAGGAGCAACCTTCGGCTGGATCGAAGCCGTTGATGGTGTATGATACTATACGTTATAACGACTGCATGAAGGGATGTGTGCTCTCAGGTTGATTTTCGTCTCAGCTGCACCAGGTGCGTGAGACGTAGATGCGACGATACCCTCATATCCAGTATCTTTCTTATGGCGCGCCTGACTATTATGTCTACGCCAATTTACTTGCACTACTATGTACAACCTCTGCTGATCAGCCATGGGGCTATTGGTATCAATTTCTTTCTTCGTTATCTAAAATTTCTGAATTTTGTTATCCTTTTTCTCTGACTGTCAAGTATACTTTTCCTTCAAATGTTCATGGATTACCCTTTGTCCTCAGTTCAACCTGATATCTTCAATATGCTTTGGAATTGAGATTAATCATATAAGTCTATGTCAATGTTAATCGCTGTATGACATCCAACACCCCGATTAAGTATCTAGTATTTGCTGGGGCAATAATAACCAAACGTGACAGGTATAGAGAAAGAAGACAGACCCCAACGACCAATCCCAAAACAAGAAACATAGAAAGCAAGTAACAAGCACAATCACCAAAACAATCAGTAGTGAGTAGGTGGACCCTGGTACCTGTCCGGTTGATCAACCGAAGTCTCCTCCATTTTATACGAATCAGACTTCCCACTGGGCAACATCCATCCAGGATGCAGGAAATTAAACACAACCACGGAAATAACCATCATAGCCCCATCAAGCGCAATAAAGTACGACTCGTGAGTAATGAGATACCCATCCCATCCCTGCGACAACTCGATCGTACGATAGATACTCCGAATATAGATACAGACGATGGAAAGTATCATGGCAGCGAAGAGGGGGATAACCGAGCCGTTCACCGACTGCAGCAGACGCTTGCGTATAACCCGACGGATGAAATCAATCGCGCAGAAGACGAAAATGGTAATTGAGAAGAGCTGGAATACGATGCCAGCGACCATGACGTGGGTGCCAGGCGCGGTGTCGCCGTCGATCTTGTTGGCTTCTCCGGAGGCCATGCCGCCGCCGATGGCTTGGACGACGAGTGAGATTACGTCGCAGGTGCAGAAGATCCAGAGGTAGAGCTTTGGCTTTATGATGGAGGATTCGGGGCCGAGGAGTTGGATGAAACGACCTAGGAGGATGTAGATGCCTGCTGTGAAGAAAGTCGGAGCTGTGGAATGTTAGTGTTAGATCGGGGCTGGATAGTTGAGGGTAGAAAAGTAGCTTGCCGATGATGAGGGTGCAAATTTGCATTAGGAAGGCATCTCCACTGTATGGACATTTGGCTGACCATGTACGGCCGGCCCAGCCGATTACTTCGACTATTGATGTTGTTAGTTTTGCTGGGAGTTAGGGTTTCAAGTGTAAGCAGGCCTTACCCAAACATCCGATACTGAACACGCTTGCCCACCATTGTCGTTTCCAGGTGAATTGGACTGTGTGGAGGATCATCGAGAGACCAAAGAGTACGCAGTAGGCAATGCCTGCTCCTAGCGATGGGATATATCCATATGAAGTGTCAATGTCTTCGATATAGGCAGGGCAGCCGGTTTGCAGTTGTTTCCTGAATTCTTCCCAGTCGGACATGGCGAAGGGAAATGAGCGACTTCAAGCCACTATAAAGGAGATTGTCGAGGAATGAAAAGCTAGCAGTAAATCCGTAGTAATTTGGATAGATTGGAAGATGGATAGAGAGTCCCCAGATGACTAGAAGATAGATTTATAGGCAACCACCCCGTTTGTCTAAAGTCAAAAAGATACCCAAAAAAGACCAGGAATCAGGCTTCAATATTCACGCGGACAATATGAGTATAAATAAGAGTAAGCATGGCTGAGCACCCACTAGCCCCCACCATCGGGGAAAACCTTTCAACGCCAAAGCCACAGTTTTTAAATGCACATCTACTTCAGTAATCTACCGGGGGTATAAGACCCGCATCGGATGAACCAATCCCGACATTCAAGTGTGTCTCCAATGTCCAGTGTCCAGTTTCCAGCATCTAAACCGGGTTGATAAACGGGCCGACTCCGGTTGGTATAGAAATGGAAAAAGGCATATGGTGAGAATCTACCACACAATCGGGCAGCCAACCGCCACAGTGGGGTGTCCCTGGCCTGTTATATTGCATGATCATTGTACCTTTATACCATATGGAACAATAGATGGATCATGACATCAAAACCAAGTCAAAAAATAAAAAAATACGCCGAGATCTGATAGAGAATCGGTCCGAATTATAATAAGCGGTATACTTGCTCGCAAGGTCATCCCTTTCAGGTTTAGCGTGAACATCGCCAAGTTTACCTCTGCCCTGAAGGAATCCATTTATCTCCGGTAAAAACCGTTGGTAGACCAAACGGGAGCTTTATAAAGGTCCCATGAGTCACGGAATTCGGCAATCAGCCACTAGATGGTTTGAGGAACTTCCGGCTTCCGACATGAATGGATGTAGTCTGTGCTTCAATATGTCTGCGGCTCAGCTGGAAAGGAATACAGTAAGATCGTATTCGGTTGGCAGACCGCTTCAAGATAATAAGAGATAATCGCATTCAAATTATTGAAGTCTAGCCCTGGCCCTGATCCTGGGTTTGGTGTTTTCTCGGGATATCGGATGGGCATAATCTAGGTCCACGGTCTCGGATGGCAGCGGATGTACGTACATATGTGACGGAGAAAAAAATTACGAGGAAAATGCACGAGGATCCACATCCATGGATGCTCCTGCTACTTATTCGACACTGGATCTCGACCTTGTAGGTTATCTTCTCATATTAGCTGAGCGTGCAATACTTGAAATAATAGCCCGTCATACTGCCTTTGAGAAACAAACAGAGGAACAAGAGAATAGAAGCAATAGAAACATTTCTCATACAAAACATACGTATACTTTCAAGGTTATGAATAAGAGAATAAGACATATCCATCCTCGCCTGTCTGGCAACTCAATGGCTAAAAGGTCAATAATAGAATGGCCAAAGGAATCCATACTCCGTATACTCCCAACCCAAGCTGCGAAAGGCAACATAATTGCCGATCTTTACTCTACTACAAAAACAGTGGAGATCCAACAGCTGTATCCCTCATTTAACCCCATAAAAAGCAGTCCATTCACACTCGACACGACCAAATAACAATCCAATCGAGACGGATTCTCAAAGGTCCAGTCAACTACCCAACAAAACAGGGATATCTTTTATCTGTCACAACCAACCGAGGGGATGTGCTGAGTGAGGCTGTCAATGCATATATCACAACTCACCCACACCACCCACGTCACCCATCTGATCAGACACCAAGGCCGAAAATAGTCGGTGGCGCGGCCTAGGCCACGCGATCACAGACAATATATTAGAAAGTGGGGGCGATGTCTGTATAGATAAGCGGGAGTGACAGCCCCGGGGTCCTCGTGGGGTATGTCAGAGATGATATCCATGAACCCCTCGTCTTAGTCAAGTCCATGGAGATTACACTACTGCCTGCATTGCTATATACACATCCCCTCGCCCACATGCAGATTCACACCCGCTTCTCAGATACTCTTCGAACCCTTGCCGCCAACCACGGCACCTAGATTGACATAATACAGGACAAACGTCGCATATACCGGGCAGCTTCCAGCCTTCACACCGTGTCCGCTTACATCATTCTTAGACCGACGCATCCGCTGCGTGGTATGACCTGCTCTGGAGTCAGGGATGGCAGTGCGGCCATGGATGTGACGTGGCTGAGCTCCGGCACACGGGGGATAGAATATCGCCGAATATGAATTCTCCAAAGCGGATGTTCTTGGTCCCGACCCATCACTTTCAGAACTCAGCCATGTTTACTCGTTAGACATCAGTTGATTCGCGTGAATACTTTAGGCCTGGGTGTGTCTGGCTGCAAATGATCAACCCTGCCTGTGAGGGGATGGGTTGATTTGAATACGATGAACCGGCTGCCACATGCTGATGAGTATCGTGTCACTATGGGATTTTTTGTTGGCTGATGGGAGCTGGTTTAAATTGACTGACAAAGCGTGGTTTGTACCAGTTAAGTGGATAAACTTGATGGTGGATCTGGGCAGAAGAAAGAGAAAAGAGGAAACTGCGGTCTATTTCTTGCTAACACTTCATAAATGATTGATCTAGAATGACTGGGATTGCTTTGAATAAATCTATTCCATATTCCAGAACGACTCGGTCGGTTTGTGGAAGCTGTGGAATTGTGGTGTATCATAGATACCCTCAGGATCTAAGAGCGAAGGTTAGCATTGCATGGCAAATTGTAAATAGGATGGAGTCCTCACCATTGTGATGTTCCATAATATACTTCCTCGTGTTGACGATACTCCCCTCAAGCTGAGCATTGAGCTCCTGCTGATAAACACGGACCTTCTCATTTGCCTTGGCAGCACCACGAAGAGCCATCTGGGCGACGTGGTACCGCGAGACACGGTTGACAAGCATCATATCGAACGGCGTGGTAGTGCTACCCTCTTCAATATAGCCACCGACTGTAACACGCCCAAGACGCGGACGTCCAAAGAGCAAGCCTTGCAACTCGGTTGGGTAGCCGTGGTAATTGAAGTGAATAGGCTTATCGGGGGTGAAGAGGGTATCGAATGCCTCAGTGGAGAGGGCATGCGGATGCCCACCCTCGTTCTCAAGAATCATCAAGTCCGTCACGTTGATGACGCAAACACGCAGCTCTGGTATGAGCTTACGCAGAAGCGCTGCTGCTGAAATTACTTCGAACATCAGTTCAACACCAATACCGACCAGCACGACATCGGGGTTCACTCCATCGTCCGTGCTGCAGAACTTCCAGATCGATGCTCCTGCGCGACAGTGGCTCTCAGCCTCTTTGGGAGTCAGGTAGACTGGAGTAGGCTGTTTTGAGCCCACCATAAGGTTGATGTAGTTCTTTGATTTCACACAGTGGTGAAGGGTTGTCAGGAAAGTATTCGCATCCGGTGGCAAGTACACGCGGGCTGCGGTAGGCTTCAGCTTTAGTACAGAGCCGATGAAGGATGGGTTCTGGTGAGAGAAGCCGTTGTGTTCCTGGCGCGTCCAGGTGCTCGATTCGATGTAGTTCATACTACTGACGCCGGAGTGCCAATTTGTTTCCATTGCCTACACAGATTATTTGGTGAGCATTGAATTGATACTAGCAAGGGAAGAAGGAGACTGACCATCTTGATGAACTTGGCATACTGCACCATCATCGTATGAATGATGCCGAGGAAGCTCTCATAGGACGGGAAAATACCAGTGCGGCCGGTCAAGGTATAACCCTGCATAAATCCTTGACACATATGTTCGCTAAGGACTTCAATTACACGGCCGCCACGGGCATTGGCGAACTGGTCCCATTGGAAATTGCGGTTCGTGCCTTCAAACACCGCATCGAGTTTGTTGCTTTCCAGCTCATCCGGTGAGAACAGTCGCACGCTACTCGGGTTGTCCTTGAATATCTGATTGATGAAGGTGCCAATCAGTTTCATGGAGCTTGCGTCAGAGCCTTTCTGCGCGCAGAAGGGCTTCCAATCCGGCAGCTTCGGTGCTGTATAACTGTTGTAGACTTCAATGCGCTGGCCAAGCTTCTTTTTGTCGTCGGTAGGAATCACAGACTTGATCTCGTCAATTACATCACCGTTCGAAGTGAACAGCTCTTCTGGCTTATAGCTAGAGAGCCATTTCTGCAGCAGATCCAGTTCTTCCTTGTCGGTCTTTGCTTTTGGCAATGGCACTTGGTGCGAATGGTACGAGCCCTCGATAAACTTGCCGTGAAGCTGCTTAGGCCCAGACCAGCCCTTGGAAGTGCGCAGAATCAGCATCGGCCACCTCGGCTTCATAATGGGATTCCCAGAACGGGCAGCCTTCTGGATCTTATGAATCTCCTTGATGGCCCAGACCATAGAGAAGTGTAAGTCTGCGTCAATATCACTGATATCCTCCACAAAGCGAACCTGGTACCCGTACCCACTGAACAGAGCCAAAAGCTCTTTGTGGTCCATGCACCCAAAGATAGTGCGCTCGCTGATCTTGAATCCATTCAAATGCAGAATTGGCAAAACTGCACCCGACTCCTGTGGATCAAGATACTTGATTGCATGCCAGGACCTGTCCACTATTAGCGTTGTACGATGAAAATAGGGAATAATCCACGAACGTAGCAGTGGGACCACTTTCAGCCTCTCCGTCTCCCACGATACAAGGCACTATAAGATCGGGGTTATCCATGACAGCGCCAAAGGACACTGCTAGAGCGTATCCCAGTTCTCCACCTTCATGGATAGCACCGGGGGTCTCGGCGTTGATGTGGCTACGCATGACTATTAGCCAAGGAACCAAATAGCAGGGCGAGTCACTGACCTGGGGAAGCCGGCTGTTGTGCTAAAGGTCGAGATCAAATTGTGCAGGCCTTTGCTGTCTCGCGAATACTGAGGATAAAATCTCTCCAGCGAGCCCTCTAGCCATAGTGCGGCTAGTATTGCCGGTGCGCCATGTCCTGGGCCGACTACGTATAACATGTCCAGGTCCATTGTCCGGACCAGGTAATTCAAATGAGAGTAGACCAGAATTAGGCCCGGGCATGTTCCCCA